TAAACTGCATAGCCTCGGTCCATGCAGCACAACCCTAAACATCACAGCCTCGTCCATGCTGCATGACCCTAAACTGCGCAGCCTCAATCCATGCTGCATGACCCTAAGCTACACAGCCCCGATCAATGCTGCTCAACACTAAACTGCATAGCCTCGATCCATGCTGCACGGCCATAAACTGTAATGGCTTAGTCCATGCCTCACAATGCTAAACTGTACGTCCTCGTCCCTCCTGCACGTCCCTATAATGCATAACCTCGATCCATGCTGTATGACCGTAAACTGCACAGCCTCTGTCAATGCTGCATTATACTGCACAGCCTCGGTCCGTGCTGCACAACCCTAAACTGCACTGCCTTGGTCTATGCTGTGTGACCAAAAACTGTACAATCTCGATCCATGCTGCTGGACCCTAAACTTCATTGCCTCGGTCCATGCAACGCGAACCTACCTCGCACGGCAGCGATCCATGCAATACGACCTTAAATTGCATAGCCTCGGTCCATGCTGCACCACCCTAAATTGTACAACCGCAGTCCTTGCTGCACGACCCTAAACTTCATTGTCTCGGTCCATGCTGCACAACCCTAAACTACACAGCCTCGGTCCATGCTGCACAACCCTTAACTGTACAGCCTCGGTGCATGCTGCACGACCCTAAACTACACAACCTCGGTCAATGCTGTGCGACCATAAAATGCACAGACTCAGTTCATGCTAACTAACCCTAAAATGCACAGTCTCGGTCCATGTTGCGCGACCCTAAACTACACAGCTTTGGCCCATGCTGCACCACCCAAAACTACACAGCTTTGATCGATTTTGCACGACACTAAACTGCATGGCCTCGGTCAATACTTCACGACCCTAAACTGCACAGCCTTGGTCCGTGGTGCACGATCCTAAACAGCATCGCCTCAGTTCATCTTGCACGACCATAAACTGCACAGTCTGGGTCCCCGTTGCAAGACCCTAAACTATACCTCCTCGGTCCATGCTACACGACCTTAAACTGCACAGCCTCGGTCCATGTTGCACGACTGTAAACTACACAACCTCGGTCCATGCTGCACGACCCTAAACGGCACCTCCTCGGTCCATGCTGCACGACCCTGAACTACACAGCCTCGGTCCATGCTACACGGCCCTAAACTCCATTACCCCGGTTCATGCTACATGTCTCTAAACTGCACTGCCTTGGTTCACGCCGCACAACCCTACCTTGCACGGCCATGGTCAATGCAACATGACCTTAAACTGCATAGCCTCAGTCCATGCTGCACCACCCTAAAACTGCATAGCTTTGGTCAATTCTCCACGACCCGAAACTGCATAGCCTCAGTCAATACCGCAAGACCCTAAATTGCACGCCTCGGTCCGTGTTGCTCGACCCTAAATTGAACGGCCTCGATCCGTCCTGCATGACCTAAAGTAGCACAGCCTTGATCCATGCGGCTCGACACTAAACTGCACAGCCTCAGTTCATGGTGCATGACCTTAAACTACACAGCCTCGGTGCATGCTTCACAACCCTAAACTGTATGGCCTCCGTCCTTGCTGCACGACCCTAAACATCACTACCTCAGTCCATGCTGCATGCCCAAAAAC